TTCTCCAGGGCCCCTGGATAGATATATATATATATACATATACATACATACATACATACATACACACACACACACACACACACACACACACACACACACACACACACACACACACACACACGTGTATAAAATCAAGCACCTAGGCATGCAGACTGCTTCTGCAAATGTGAAAGAACGGATTGCTCTCAAGAGCTCAGGGAATTCAAGCGTGGTACCATGATAGGTTGCCACCTGTGCAATACGTCCATCTGTGAAATTTCCTGGCTACTAATATTCCACAGTCAACTGTTAGTGGGATTATAACAAAGTGGAAGCAACTGGGAACAACAGCAACAAAAACTTCATGTGGCCTGCAGATTAGCACAACAACCGTGCGTAGAGAGCTTCATGGAATGAGTTTCCATGGCCAAGCAGCTGAATCCAAGCCTCACATCACCAAGTGCAATGCAAAGCATCAGATGCAGTGGTGTAAAGCACGCTTCACACTGGACTCTAGAACAGTGAAGACATGTTCTCTGGAGGGACGGATCACTCTTCTCTGTCTGGGTGAACCAATGAACGTGTCTGAGTTTGGCGGTTGCCAGGAGAACAGTACTTGCCTGACTGCATTGTGCCAAGTGTAAAGTTTGGTGGAGGGGGGGATTATGGTGCGGGGTTGTTTTTTCAGGGGTTAGGCTTGGCCCCCTAGTTCCAGTGAAGGGAACTCTTAAGGTGTCAGCATACCAAGACATTTTGGACAATTTCATGCCCCCAACTTTGTGGGAACAGTTTGGGGATGGCTCCTTCCTGTTCCAACATGACTGCGCACCAGTGCACAAAGCAAGGTCCATAAAGACATGGATGAGTGAGTTTGGGGTGAGGAACTTGACTGGCCTGCAGAATCCTGACCTCAACCCCATAGAACACCTTTGGGATGAATTAGAGCGGAGACTGTGATCCAGGCCTTCTCGTCCGACATCAGTGCCTGACCTCACAAATGTGCTTCTGGAAGAATGGTCAAACCTTCCCATAGACACCCTCCTAAACCTTGTGGACAACCTTCCCAGAAGAGTTGAAGCTGTTATAGCTGCAAAGGGCGGGCCAACTCAATATTGAACCTACGGACTAAGACTGGGATGCCATTAAAGTTCATGTGCGTGTAAAGGCAGATGGCCCAATACTTTTGGCAATATCGTGTATATATATTTATGTGGCCTACCACTCCTGAGAGCGACCCATTCTTTCACAAATGTTTATAGAAGCAGTCTGCATGCCTAGGGGATTGATTTTATACACCTGTGGCCATGGAGGTGATTGGAACACCTGAATCCAATGATTTGAAGGGGTGTCCCAATACTTTTGGCAATATAGTATATATATAAATATTTGGGGGTTCTGAGTAGTTTTCTAGCAAAAATAAATGCTGATTGCTGACTGTTACATATGGGAGAGGATAAGGCCTGGAAGGAGGGGGTTAAAACAATGGACAATCCACACACCTCCTCCCCCCCACACACACAAGGCTGGCCCGGGACTCACCCTGGTGAAGACGGTGACCCGGCCACAACACAGGATTTGCCAGAGTTCAGCCACCTCAGAGCTGCAGAGAGAACCAATCACCATTCAGAGTGAACCGATACTCATAGCATGAACTTTAATATAACAAACAACCAATGGCTGCAGACTGGAGCTCCACTCGACAGGAAACATGTGACCTCCACTCCAACTTTTTTTTTTTAATGAACATATTTGTAACAAACAACCAATAGACGCAACTGGAGGAACTGGAGGTTGCGTTTCTTGTCACATCTACATTTCCCGAGGGTATCTGGTTGCAGACTGGAGCTCCACCCTTGACAAGAACTTTTTTTTTTTTTTCCCCAACGTTAACCCTTTCACTGCCAGAGCTGTTTTTGCATATATTTTTTTTTTGCACACATTTCAAAAATTATCTAAAAATTACACAAAACCCCAAAACAGTATATATTTTCAGAAAGCAGACACCCTAGAGAATAAAATAGTGGCAGTTCCAATTTTTTATGTCACATGATATTACATGCAAAGGTCTAGGAAACACAACATTTCAGTAAAAAACACATTAAAGTGAATCTTAGGGCAAACAAATGCAATAAATTACCCAAATATTGGTAAAAATATAAAAGACAAGGAGTAAATAGATACCCAACATGTCAAACCTTACATAACATTTATGTGTGCCTGTAAAATGGCGACAAAACTTCAGTACCATGTGTTTTCTCTAGGTAATCCCCCTATAGGTCATCTGTTTAGTGTTACGGAGGAGGTCAGGTGCTAGAATTACTACTCTCACTCTGGCATGTGTGGTGATACGTAACATGGGTATCCCAACTGACACTTTCAAGTGTAGGCACCCACTACGCGTGTGTTTACGTTTGTACATGCGTATACATTCACCTGCCACTTTATTAGGTACTCCTGTTCAATTGCTTGGTAACACAAATTATAATCAACCAATCACATGGCAGCTACTCTATGCATTTAGGCATCTAGATGTGATGAAGACGACTTGCTGAAGTTCAAATTGAGCATCAGAATAGGGAATAAAGGGGATTTAAGTGACTTTGAACATGGCATGGTTGTTGGTGCAGATGGGCTGGTCTGATTATTTCAAAAACTGCTGATCTACTGGGATTTTCATGCACAACCATCTCTAGAGTTTACAGAGAATGGTCTGAAAAAGAGAAAATATCCAGTGAGCGGCAGTTGTGTGGACAAAAATGCCTTGTTGATATCAGAGGTTAGAGGAGAATGGGCAGACTGGTTTGAGATGATAGTAAGGCAACAGTAACTCAAATAACCACTCATTACAATCAAGGTATGCAGAATACCATCTCTGAACGCACAACACATGGAACCTTGAAGCAGATGGGCTACAGCAGCAGAAGACTACACTGGGTGCCACTACTATCAGCTAAGAACAGGAAACAGAGGCTACAATTCGCACAGGATCACCAAAATTGGACAACAGAAGATTGGAAAAACCTTGCCTGGTCTGATGAGTCTGGATTTCAGCTGTGACATTCAGAAGGTAGGGTCAGAATTTGGCTTAAACAACATGAAAGCATGGATCCATCCTGCCTGGTATCAATGGTTCAGGCTGGTGGTGTAATGGTATGGGGGATATTTTCTTGGCACACTCTGAGCCTCTTAGTACCAACTGAGTATTGTCCTACAGCCTACCCAAGTATTGTTGCTGACATATCCATCCCTTTATGACTACAGTGTCCCCATTTCTGATGGTTCCTTCCAGCAGGATAATGTACCATGTCACAAAGCTCAAATCATCTCAAACTGGTTTCTTGAACATGGCAATGAGTTCACTGTACTCCAATGGTCTCCACAGTCACCAGATCTCCATCCAATAGAGCACCTTTGGGATGTGTTGGAATGGGAGATTCACATCATGGATGTGCAGCCGACAACTCTGCAGCAACTGTGTGATGCTATCATGTCAATATAGACCAAAATTTCTGAGGAATGTTTCCAACAACTTATTGAATCTCTTCCACGAAGGATTAAGGCAGTTCTGAAGGCAAAAGGGGGTCCAACCCGGTACTAGCAAAGTGTACCTAATAAAGTGGCCGGTGAGTGTATGTGCGGGTGGGAGGGCCTCATAATATTTTTTTTGGGGGGAGGGCATTTTATGTGCTTGATTTAACTTTATTTTTTGACAACAAAAATATTTTTTTTGCCTAATTTTCTTTTTCATCACATAGCGACAAAAAGTTTCCTATGTAATGATTTTTTGATGACAGGTTCTCTTTAATGAGACATCTGGGGTCTAAAGCCCTGCACATCTCCCCTGTGCTACACTGAATGTATTGCAATGCAGATCGCATTGTAATACATTCCTTCTTGGCTATGACAGCCAGGGAAAGTGACAGGGTGACCCAGAAATGACGTCATACAAATTGCTTTCTGGGTCAGAGCAAGAAGGGTAGTATTTGTGACACCCCAGGTGTCTCCTCCACCTGCCGGCACCTGACATGTCGGTCGCAGATGGGCAACGGAATACATGGTGGGGGTGGGGCACATGCTGGAGGGATGGGGGCATCATCATTATTGGGGGGGTGGGGGATGGAAGCAGTAGTGCGGGGCAGTCCAGCTGCCCGAATGCTTTCATCTGTCAGTTTTATGTACAACCCTGGTTGCCGTAGGCACCGGATTGTGTATAACACCCCCACCCCCCACTGTCAGGTCCCTATAGCGAAAGAGTTAATGTAACAAACAACCAATAGACTCGCCTCAACTAAGTGGAGGTCACATGTTTCCCGTCTGTAGTGGAGCTCCAGTGTGAGCTGCTGTGACAGGGAGATTGGCTCCCGCACTGATCATTGTGCTGTGAGATCCAAATTTGGGGGTGTCTGTGTGCCTGGGGTGTCACAAATACTACGCATATTTGAATGGCCAAAGCCGTGATGACGTCACTCCCACGCATGCGTAAGGGAACTACGGCCATGGCACACAGTTCTGAAGGAACGACATGGGTATGCTGTTCCTTCAGAGTGCATGTCACTGGCTGCTGCTCACCAGAACATCTCCTAAATGGTTTCACATTTAGGAGATATTCATTTCACCTACAGGGAAGATTTACTATAAAAGTATGGCAATGGAGTTCACTACCACTTTAAGTTCATAAAAGAAAAGTTGGAGTGGAGGTCACATGTGTCCTGTCGAGTGGAGCTCCAGTCTGCAGCCATTGGTGGAGGTCACATGTGTCTTGTCGAGTGGAGCTCCAGTCTGCAGCCATTGGTGGAGGTCACATGTGTCTAGTCGAGTGGAGCTCCAGTCTGCAGCCATTGGTTGTTACAGTAAAGTTCATTTTTTAGAAGTAAAGTGGAGGTCATATGTTTCCGGTTGAAAGTGGAGCTCCAGTTTGTCTCCTGCCTCGCTGTTCCGGTATGCGTCCGTCGCTGTTCCGGTTTCCGCCCGTCGCTGTTCCGGGTCAGGGGGGACGGGAGGCGTGGCTGCTAGGCTGCGCGGTGCCGGCTGGTGTTTGTGGCGGAGAGGACGGGATGAGTACGGTGTGGGGATGGGGATGGAAGCTGCGCTGCTGCGGATATCATAGCGCTGCCCTGGCCGGAGTGCGGAACCTGACCAATGGAGTCCTCCGGGGAGGGGGCGGGGCCGGAGCGACTGCTGGGAAGGTGAGAGGAGGGCAGGGAGGGAAGGTCACACATGTCACTGTGCGGGGAGAGGGGACACCGGCTGATACATGGACTGTCCCCCCCCACCCTCATCAGTAGAGGGGGCACCACACTCCCCACCACCATTATTCATTCATTCATTGGAGGGATGGCTGTATCTGTGTAGAGTGTAAGCTCTGAGGACCAGGCCCCCCGTGACCTCTGTACTGGATCTGTACTGGCTCTCTGTGTGGTCTCATGCACATGGGCTGTGGAGGGCATATCCCTAGATCAGTATACCAGCTGTGCGGGGGGGGGGGGGGGGCATATCTCTAGATCAGTATACCAGCTGTGGGGGGCATATCCCTAGATCTGTGTACCCAGCTGTGGGGGGCATATATATCTCTAGATCAGTATATCCCAGCTGTGGGGGGCATATCCCTAGATCTGTGTACCCAGCTGTGGGGGGCATATCCCTAGATCTGTGTACCCAGCTGTGGGGGGGGCATATCCCTAGATCTGTATACCCAGCTGTGGGGGGCATATCCCTAGATCTGTATACCCAGCTGTGGGGGGCATATCCCTAGATCTGTATACCCAGCTGTGGGGGGCATATCCCTAGATCTGTATACCCAGCTGTGGGGGGCATATCCCTAGATCTGTATACCCAGCTGTGGGGGGCATATCCCTAGATCTGTATACCCAGCTGTGGGGGGGGGGGGCATATCCCTAGATCTGTGTACCCAGCTGTGGGGGGGGAGCATATCCCTAGATCTGTATACCCAGCTGTGGGGGCCATATCCTAGATCTGTGTACCCAGCTGTGGGGGGCATATCTCTAGATCTGTATACCCAGCTGTGGGGGGGATATCCCTAGATCTGTATACCCAGCTGTGGGGGGCATATCCCTAGATCTGTATATGCAGCTGTGGGGGGCATATCTATTATATTCTCTATGCTATATGGGGGGCTCTGTGCCCCTTACGTGTCACCGTGTCACAGTAGAGAAAAACTGTGGTTGTCACCAGAACAAGTGTCCCTATTGGAAGATTCTCCCTCTTTACCTGTTCTTTGAACTCAGAATTCCCTTCATTTTTAGGGCACTGAGATGCAAAAAAAAAAGGTTCTAGTCCTTCCACACTTAGTACAACTGATAACAAGTTTTTGGCTTGGGATAGACATTTCTATATATCACTGGCTTTACCCCTCAGATCATTGAATATGGAGATTAATCATTGTCAGTGTGAAGATGGGAGTTCCATGATTCTTCACTAGTTGACATATATTGAATGCCTGTTTTATGGGAACAATCTTCTACTCCCCTTCGTTTATTGTATTTACTTTAGAGGTGTGGTTTATAATTGCCAGGCAGGTCATGTCAGAACAGAGGAAGGCCTGCTAGAATTTGTAAATGCCTATGTAGTTTGCAAATATATATATTAAAAAAAAAACAAAGCATGCTTTGTGGGGCCATTGGATTTGTTGCCTATTTGTAAGTATTATGCAGAAAGGACAGTTAGCCCCTGTTCACACCAATGCAATTTGTCATACGATTTGGCAGTTCAAAATCGCATGACAGGTCACTCCCTATTTGCGCCTATGGAACCGCTCAAATCAGCGTGGTTCCGACTTTGTGGTGCGGTACCGTTTTTGAAAAAAGGTTCTTTGGCGAAGTATGAATGAAGTCGCACAGATGTCAGGCAAGCCACATGTGAAATCGCACTGATCAGCGGCTTTGAAATCACGCTACTTTAAGCGACGTTGTGTGATTTCAAAGCCGCATTCAGTGTGAACCGGGGCTAATTGACATCAGATCTGCCTGTATGTGTGTGAGACACGGCCAGCTTGCTGTGTGTGTTGTCCTTGACAGAAGGCATATATCATGGATCCATAGTCCAAGGGATGATATGGCTGATCTGTAGTTTGTTAGGAAGCTGTAACTATGTAGCAGTCACCTTGATTATCATTCTAGTTATTGATTGGTGTTTTTTTTTTTTTTTCCATCTGTTATTTAGCTTTGAAATGCCAAAAGAAAAACTGCACTGCTCCAAGCTCCTAAAACAGCCTGCTGAGATGTCTACTGTTCCGGGTGCAGGTCACAAGAGCTACTCTAGGTCAATACATATAACAGTCGAAGAATGAGGCTGCACTCCATGGAAATCCTACTGATAAAAACTGACCCAGAATCCCCATCCACACATTCCAGGTGAATGGGGGAATCCTCCCCACAGTGTCATTGTGTTCTGACTGTGGGGAGATTACCCCGCTGTCAGAATACACAGATTAGCGCTGCAGTCCATAGCCTGCAGTGCAGATCGAGTGGAAATATACAATCAGGGTGGATGAACAGAAGCTGGTCTGTAGATCGACTTCTGTCCAACCACAATTGCAACACATGGATCAAAATTCGGCTGGCCCCTTCTGAGCCGACCAAATTTCTAATCATGTATGGCCAGCTTAAGTTTATTGTGTACAGCTGGCTGTAGACAAAGTCCCCGCCCCTTGGCCACACCCCTCTTGACATGTTTCACCCCTCCTAGGTCTTAAATTGTTACTAAACCCACAACAGTAAAATCAGTCTGTATATACAGTAAAGCATAATTGTTATACTCACTGTGGAACCTAAGGGGTTAATCCTCCACATTGTGTAAAAGGATTTTTAATCCTGTCTTCTCTGATCATCCCCTTCTACTGTCCCCAATCCATCTGCCATAGTACAGATCAGCAGCTGTGGCAAGTCTGCACATGCTCTGTTCGGTGTGTATTGCTAGAGAGGGTTTTTTTTATTTTGGGAGGGTACATGTGATCAGCACAGGGCCAATCAGTGCTTTCCTGACAGAGGGTCAGGGGTCATGCAGCCTCGTAGGGCAGTCAGAGGAGAATGAAAACTCCTCCTACAAGATTAACCAGTGCTCAGCTGGAAACTGATATATGTCACAAGACTGCTCTAACTGCTGATGAGAAAAGGTATTTAGTAGTTTATATTTACTAAAATAATTGTGTTTCCATGTTCTGCATACTTTGGGAGACCAGATCTAGTGAGCGCAGGGTCCTGGGTTTAGTGACACTTTAATCATGGTGGTACCATAGAGGGGCGGAATGTGTCAAAGGGGTGCAGCCTAAGGGCGGGGACTGTGTCTACATCCAGCTACATGGTAAACCTACCAGTGGGATCTCCGTGGAGTGTGGCCTCGTTCTTCAATTTTTTTTAATTAGCTTTGTTGTGTTCTATACAAGCCTTTCTCAACCAGGGTTCCTTCAGAGGTTGCTAGGGGCTCCTTGAGCAATGAGCAACTTCTGCTTCTCAGATGAGTAATCATTGACACCAATGATGGTTTAAGATCTCTGTAAGGGGGGGGGAATCTTCCCAAGAACTGCACATGTATGGGACTTTATTCTCAGTGACCATCACTCTAATGTTACGGTGAGCTGTAGATATATGAATTATTAGCTGGGGTTCCCTGAACCTGGAAAGTTATTTCAGAGTTCCCTGTATTAAGAAAGGCTCTATATGAGATCAGAGTTCTGTGTAGAAGGCTTGGAACTAAAGGTGCTGAGCTTGTTTATGGGCTCGTTCACACCTTGTGTGCCATGTATGTTGGCATTCTTATTTCATTTGAATGGCATCCCAACATATCTGCGCACCACAAATGCAAAATATGGGTTGCTGTATGCTGTAGTGGAAAACTACTGGGAACTGGAGAAAGTACAGAGAAGGGCAACCAAACTGATAAGAGGCATGGAGGAGCTCAGCTATGAGGAAAGATTAGAGGAACTGAATTTATTCTCTCTTGAGAAGAGGAGATTAAGGGGAGATATGATCTCCATGTATAATACATAAGGGGAGATATGATCTCCATGTATAATAATAAGGGGAGATATGATCTCCATGTATAATACATAAGGGGGGATATGATCAACATGTATAATACATAAGGGGGATATGATCAACATGTAGAATACATAAGGGGGGATATGATCAACATGTAGAATACATAAGGGGGGATATGATCAACATGTAGAATACATAAGGGGGGATATGATCAACATGTATAATATATAAGGGGGAGATATGATCAACATGTATAAATACATCAGTGGTTCATATAGTGAACTCGGTGTAGAGCTATTCACCCTGAGGTCATCACAGAGGACAAGGGGGCGCTCTTTACATTTGGAGGGAAAAGAAATTTAATCTCCAAACACGGAAAGGTTTCTTCACAGTAAGAGCTGTGAAAATGTGGAATAGACTCCCTCAAGAGTTGGTTCTGGCCATCTCAGTGGATTGCTTTAAAAAAGGCCTGGATTCTTTCCTAGATACAAAGAATATAACTGGATACTAACATTTATAGGTAAAGTTGATCCAGGGAATATCCGATTGCCTTTCGGGGGATCAGGAAGGAATTTGTTTCCCTGCAGGAGCAAATTGGATCATGCTTTGCTGGGGGTTTTTTTTGCCTTTCTCTGGATCAACTGTGGGCATAGGATTATAACTTTTTTTTTTTTTGTTTTTAATGGTTGAACTGGATGGACTTTGTCTTTTTTCAGCCAGACTAACTATGTAAGTACTGCAGGAATGACTTTTCTTGTGTTGAGACCCATTCAAAATGAATGGCCTGTGGAAATGTAGTGCACCTCATTACACAATGAAGTGTGTTGCAGCGCTTTGCATTAGCACAGTGCATTACGGATGTTCATTAAAGTGCACTGCATAGAAAAAAAAATGCAGCCGGGCATAATTTTTATGTATTGGGGTGCATTACAGTCCATTCATTTTTAATAGGTTTCGTAATACAGTGTGCTTCAAGAGCGGGGATGCCATTAGGAATGAATGGCACTGACACGCACCTGCAAAGGGGCTGCATGTTTGTATGCATTGCAGCACACAAATGTGAACCTAGCCTAGGTGTTGCCTAATTGCAGCAGAGAAAAAATAATGTGTGGCAGAGCTGTTTAATTTCAAAACTGAATAGAATAAAAGATAAATCCATTCGCAGGTAAATTTGTTCATTAAAGGTATTCAATCTTTTGATTTAACTGCTTGCCCTGGAGTTCATCTTTAAACCTTAATGTATTTTTGAAATGTTCAAGTTAATTGATATGTTCAGTTACTGGTATAGCAATGTGCAGCATACTGGACTTTTTTCCATTCAGTGCAGAATAATGCATCGGTATGAACAATCACTATTATAAAGTAGATTTACTAAAAAAAACTATTATAAAATTGATTTTTTTCTTCTTCAAGCATTTTGCTGTGTTGGTAAATGCACCAAGAGGCATGGCATGTCTGGTGGGAAACATTTAAAAGGCCTGTCATGTGTGGTGCAAGTTGTGACTTTAGTTCACAACAGCTTGTGAGGTACAGATTAAGTGACATAGAGGTCCAAGACTGCATCATAAAAATATAAATTATATGATAATAAACTTCCTGCATTGCACAAAAGTCTCACCTATCCACGTTTGTTTATTTTGCAGATTCATATCTTTCCTATAAGGTCTGGCCTGTTCACACGTTCAATGAGTGCTTTTTGGTGGTAAGTAGTGAATGGGGAAATCTTTGTGCATTTTATAGCATTCTACTAAAGATCTGTATGTAAAAGTGAACAACTTAAAGTATATGTAAATTCAACACGCTTAAAGCAGTGGTAAACTCTGGGGGGGGGGGGGAATGCCCCCCCCTACAGGATAATGTTATAATGTGCTAGAATGCACTGCATACTAGTATGTTATGAAAGACTTACCTGTAAAACGAAGCCCTCCAGCGTTGATCTGTTACCGCTGTTGGCGCTACCATCTTTACCTGTCTTCTTTCTTTCCTTCATTTGAATGGCCAAGCTGAGAAGACATCACATGGCGCACTCAGTGTGCTGTCAATGCAGTGCATTAGCGCAGTGACATCACCGGCTGCTTAAACTGTGAAACTTAACCGGTGCAAGTTTAGGAAATAATTATTCATACTCTGAATGGTCTAGGGTTGTCAGTGGTGTACCCCAAGGTTCAGTGTCGGGACCCTTACTTTTTAATATATTTATAAACGATATAGGGTCTGGGATTAAAAATCCCATTTCAGCCATTGCAGATGACACCAAGCTGTGCAGTGGAATAATGTCCTTACAGGATGTCTCCAATTTACAAGCCGACCTCAATGCACTGTTTAATTGGGCAACTATGTGGGAAATGAGGTTTAATGTTGATAAATGTAAGGTTATACACTTGAGGGCTAAGAATATGCATGTATCATATATACTAGGGGGGGTACAACTGGGGGAATCAATGGTGGAGAAGGATCTGGGGGTTCTGGTAGATCACAAGCTTAATAATGGCATGCAATGCCAAGCTGCGGCTTCTAAAGCGAGCAAAATCCTCTCTTGTATTAAAAGAGGTATAGACTCCAGAGAGAGATATCATATTACCCCGGTACAAATCATTAGTAAGACCTCATCTGGAATATGCAGTTCAGTTTTGGGCACCAATTCACAAAAAGAACATTGGGGAACTGGAGAAAGTACAGAAAAGGGCAACCAAACTGATACGAGGCATGGAGGATCTCAGCTATGAGGAAAGATTAGAGGAACTGAATTTATTCTCTCTTGAGAAGAGGAGATTAAGGGGGGATATGATCAACATGTATAAATACATCAGTGGTTCATATAGTGAACTCGGTGTAGAGTTATTCACCCTGAGGTCATCACAGAGGACAAGGGGGCACTCTTTACGTCTGGAGGAAAAGAAATTTAATCTCCAAACACGGAAAGGTTTCTTCACAGTGAGAGCTGTGGAAATGTGGAATAGACTCCCTCAAGAGCTGGTTCTGGGCAGCTCAGTGATTTGCTTTAATAAAGTCCTGGATTCTTTCTTGGATACACAGAATATAACTGGATACTAACATTTCATAGATAAAGTTGATCCAGGGAATATCCGATTGCCTCTCAGGGGATCAGGGAGAAATTTTTTCCCCTGCAGGAGCAAATTGGATCATGCTTTGCTGGGTTTTTTTTTTTCCTTCCTCTGGATCAACTTTTTTTTTTTGGTTGAGCTGGATGGACTTTTGTCCTTTTTCAGCCAGACTAACTACCGGTATGTAACTATGTAAATAATCTCTGTACCTATAGGTCATAATAGGCTTACTTAAAGGTACAAATTGAAAAGCGGAGTTTACTACTGCTTTAAAATGTTGTTGGATTGTGTTTTCTCCGTTTCAGTACTAAATCTAGTGTGTGAATCTACCCAGTGGGGATACAGGAATACAAACCAGGCAGAGATTCTTATCCCTTATTCCCATTGAGAGGCTAAATCAGCTAGTAATAAACCAACACTGCTCCAGGTCAGCCCAATAAAATAGCCCCTTAATCATGTCAAAGTATTCCATAGATAAATTAAGATGTTAACTGCACTCCAATCCAGCAAAGTGACATAAATCCATGATCAAACACCCCAAATGGGCAAGGAAGACGATGCTAATGCATTTCATGCCTATATGTTCAAGTTAACAACACTAGCTGAGTCAAGCATCAGGGAGGATCCTGACATTAAATTCGGGATCCTTTCAGAGTCTTGATCAGATGAGTGACTTCAGCCAACAGTGATATTTATCCCGCTTTTGGCTGAAATCGGGTCACAGGATTGCAGAACGAAGTGCACTTCAGTAACCCACAGGATACATATAGTTAAAAGCACTTTGATCGTACTTCTCCTTTTAAATGGAGAATAGAAAAAACTTGTACAGCAAATGTGGTTTAGCCAAGCTTAGATTTTACTGAAGGGCTGTGGTTTACCAATACATACCTTCTACTGTCTAGATCTTTCGATGCCACTATCTGTCTTGCAGTTTTCAGTAAACCTCTAGCCAAGACATTTTTTCTTTGGCTTTGAGTAGAAGGTGAAACCCTCTGTCAGGCTACTTTTTTTTTTTATAATTGCTGACACATTGGGAAGAGTTAAAAACTACCTAAATGAAGGAAAAATCCTGACTTTAAGATTTTTAAAGCAATTCTAAAGGCTCGAGGTGGTATCACCTTCATGCATTCTATTTGTCTTATGGATGCATAGAGCAGCAGCTCAGAAGAGAGCAAGCAGCTGTGACACAGGGCAAGCAGCTTTCTCTGGGGGCACTGCTCAAGGGGAAGAAAGCCAGGAGCACCATCCCCCCGAAAACCAAAGGAGGATCAGGGCAGCTGTGTGCAAAACTAATGCGCAGAGCAGGCGTGTATGTTTGAGTAAGTATGACGTGTTTGTTTGTTGTTTTTTTAATGTTAAACGTTTTCACGTTTTTCTTCACTTTCTGTCCCAACAACAATGATCCAGACTAGAACTATAAAATCCTGAAAGATTCTAATCCTCCTCTGATGCATCCAAAATTAGGGAAAAAAACAATAAACCCTCAAATAATGTAATTTCCTGTGCGTTTATATTCAGCAGGTCCCAGTCTAGGCTTCTCCACTCGTCTCAAGTGACATGCTGCTGCAGTAAGACCAATAGCGAAGCCAAATATAAAGACCCATTTAAACTGGGAAGCAGTGATCTGAAGAATCTCTATGAAGACATCAAAAAGGTGATTTGCTGGTGTTCTACTTCACTCCACAGTCCAGTTGCATAAACTGTTATGTAGGTGACATGTGACTTTATGGCAGCATGGTGGCTCAATGGTTTCCCTGTGACACTGGTCTTCTGTGCTTGATCCAACCAGGAACACACATTTTTGTGTTCATGTTTTTATGGTAAGTTGATGTGTGTGTTGGTGTAACCATCAAAAGGACATCAGAACACAAGATTTTTTTTTTTTTTAAAGATGAGTGCCTAGCATGAATGGTTCAGAATACTTTGCAGACTTGGATAACAATGTAAATGCATACAATGTAGCTAAAAATCAAGAAAAGATTATTAAATAATTTTTTGTGTTAGTGACGACTGAATTGGTTTGCAAATTGAGCAACTGAGTCTGAGGAGAATACACAGCTCACTAATCATCATTGCAAGGAAATTGTTCTTCCTGAACTGAGCATATCTGCTTGCAGGCATTCACACCACAATCGTGTCATCATATCTTGCAGAAATGTATTCAATTTTAGAATGAGATCTAATTTGTCTACTTGCTGGTCATTATACCTCCATCCTCTTACTTAAGATGTTTTCTCTTGTTTGAAGTATAGGAGCTGCTCATAACAACCCAGGAGCTGAAGGACATGTGCGAGTATTATTTTGATGGGAAAGGGAAAGCAATTAGACCGATGCTGGTTGTGTTAATGGCACGAGCGTGTAACACACATTATAATAATTGCCGGTAAGTTATCATGGAGTTGTCTTGAATGGCTTTGTGCTTTTCTTGGGGTTTGTTCACACCAGAAGCATTGGGGCTAGGCTGGCAGATATTTCCAGTGCAGCCTCAATGCATAGACAAAATGCTTTGGGTATTTTTTGTGTCTGTTTTGGTGTTTTCTCACCTAATTCCCTATTTGAAGATTTACGGAGTTAAAAAAAAATGTTAACCTTACCTTAATTTATCTTTCCTAAAATGTGGTAAGTATACTACTGGTGGTACCATAATCCCTCTGGGTAGTATGTGACAGCCCTTGAAATGCAAAAAAAAAAAAAAAAACAGGTGACTTTATGCAGTGCAGGAAAGTCTAGTCCTTCCTTCCACTATTCTATGCAGTAGTAGAGTAGCCTGTTATTTAAATCTTGGGGAGGTAGTTCATGGCAAAGAGCCACGAGCACAGAGACCTAGAGGGGAAGGGTGAGTGACTCAGATGGCAAAGTTAGCAGGTAAAGCTGAGAGATTTGCCACATGGTAGATGAGTGGTTTGTAACTACAATATAACGACAATATACAGGTAACATTAAAGCGGAGTTCCACCTACAAAAAAAAAAAAAAAAAAAATTCAGCAGCTACAATAACTGTAGCTGCTGACTTTTAAAATACAGCCACTTCCTGTCCCTCGGTCCAGCGATGTCTTCACCACCACTGGTTTCACCAGCCGTCTTCTCTCCCTGGTGCCGGAATCTTCAGTGTGGGCATCCGGCTGTGACAGCTTGCAGCTTCACAGCCGGATGCCTACTGCGCATGCGCGTGAAGCGCTGCGCTTTGTGCATGGGCCCCGTAATCTTCTGGGACCTGTCACATGTCTCAGAAGACTACAGGGAGGGAGGAGGGGAGGACAACTTCCGCTTCTGATCGCCTAGGTGATCGCAGCGGGAGTGTGGGAGCGGGTACCTGTCAAATTCGGGTACCCACTCTCCCCTCCCCAAAGGTGCCAATTCTTAATGGGGAGCGGGGGACAAAGGCTTAAAGCAGAACTTCCCCCTTTTGGGTGGAGCTCCGCTTTATTTCACAGTAACTGTCATGATTATGGTGAAAATAAAGGGTTTAGGTGAGAAAAATTGGCCTAATGCAGAGTTGTTACTTTTACATTGTTTCTTACCTTGTATATAAGAAAAAAATATTTATACAGAAATGAAATACTGAAGGGTCAGGTCACTCCCAAGTGAAAATATATAGATGAAATCAAGTGGGCTGAATTGCTATTTTGAGACTTTGACAGCAAGTGTCTCAGCACTTTTTATCCAACCTTTAAGTTTGGTTCCATTGCTGTCAATGGAGCCTTTTGAGGGGTAAACTACAGCAGTGATTGCATCCACCAGTATCTTCCAAAGACCTTATCCTACTAAGTGAATGTTCTCTGTGTACAGGGAGATGCACCCTGCCCAGCGCTCCATTGCTGTTATTGCTGAGATGATCCACACTGCTAGTTTAGTACATGATGACGTCATTGATGGTTCTGATTCCCGAAGAGGAAAGAAGACGGTCAATCAGATATGGGGTGAAAGACAGGTGAGATGTGTGTTCTCATGTATGTGTTCTGATGTATAATGAGTTTAAACACCAGACATTAAATGCAAATCTAACTGCTAGGTATACAGCACTGGCCTTTTACTATTGCTGGGGAATTCATTTTGAAGAAAGGCTAAAATTCACAGACATGAATCTAAGATACAGTAGAACAGGCCAGGCTCACTTCTGCACTTTATGCATTCTGTATTAGTTTTTACAGCGATTTTAAAGGCATCATTTTTTAATTAAAAAAAGATGTTATACTTATTTCTAACGATATTGCACAGAGCAGTCTCTTACCTCCTCTTCTGGAGTCCCCCACCAGTGCTCTGCACTCCTCTCCTCTGTGGCCATGTGTTGGCGTGCTCCCGAGCCACACTGTGTGCATCCATAGACGCACACAGCCCGGCTCTGCCACAAACCGCCTGCTTCCTTCTCACAGGATTTAACCCCCCTGGCGGTATTCCCGAGTGTAGCTCGGGGTAAAGTTTCAGCACCACAAGTGGTAACCCTGAGCTACACTCGGGAATACCCTGCAGTGCTGCTCCGGGATCGCTTCTGCACTTACCTTGTCCTGCGCTCCCGCGATGTCCCCCGGCAGCGGCCCCGACCGTGTCCTCCGGCTGATGCCGGCATCCGGGTTCCGTTCCCTGTGACGTCAGGACATACGGGGACGGAACTGGCGGGAAATTTAAAAATGTTAAAAAAGTGACATTCACTAAATACACTAAAATCACATAGTAAAACATTACTGTATCAAACCATTTCACATACATTTTGTCCCGAGTGCTTTGTCCTGTGCCCTGCCTGTATTTTTACTGTTCTTTCTGCCTGGAAACTGAGAAAAGTCCAAAAAGCGTCCCTTTAGGTCAAAAGCGGTTTTAGACCGGCTAGAGAACAGCAATAGTAAATTAGAACCACTTGCAGAATTTAGTGATAATGATTTGTGGGGAAATTCGTCATCAGACACTGAAAACGATTCTGTGACTGAGCTCAGCAATGTGCGAACTTGGCGCTATATTTCAAATTTCAGTGTTTTTGGTTTGATTATATTATTGAATTAAATTTATTTTTATTACATTATTATTTTTTATGATTATTTATTAAATTATAATTTATGATTTTGTGGTTCAAATTTTATCATACCCGAGATGTTTACTAGACTCTTGTTCGGACAGATTTCAGTGAGTTATTCCTAAAAATTACAGGCCTACAATAAAAAAACGACATATTTCCATGCAAAAAAATGTACCGCTTTGAGCACAGAAATAGTGACATAATCAGACCGCTAGGGAGGTTAACTGACAGCAGCGGTTGCCTGTGTGTCCTGTGAGGAGAGGAAGATAGGAAAGCAGGGCTGCAGCCGGGCACATTGGATGAATAGAGGCTTCAGGAGAGTGTTTGTGGAGGGAACAGATATTGGAAGGTTATTTTTATCTTATTGCAGAGAATGTTTTAAGTTAAAAAAAAAAAAAAAAAAAAAAAAAAAAAACCTTTTGCTTTTCTAACCACTTTTAAAAGTATTCCTTGAGTTCAAGAAAGTAATTTGTCAGAGGATGAAGACTGCTAAATTAGCTGAATTCAAAGATCAAGGAATGATTTTTGAAAACTAGATTCTGCTTGTGTCTTGAGGAAGGGATAGTGTTACACGGCAGGTATGTCATTTTTCTGCCACTTCTAACTTGACTTTGGTCTTGTCTTTTCAAGGCTGTCCTTGCTGGAGACTTCATACTGTCGGCTGCTTCTGTGGCCTTGGCAAAAATTGGTAACGCCACTGTAATCTCAGTGTTATCTCAGGTCATTGAAGATTTGGTACGAGGTAAGTCTGATCTAAGTTTGATTTCAACTGAAAAACTTAGCAGCTACAGGAGTAGTGTGTGTGTGTGTAAATTACAGTATAATTGTTATTTTTTTATGTTTGGATAAAGCAGAGAGGTTTTAGAACCCTTTGTCTGCTTTTCATTGCTGTCTGTCCCTCTGTTAGGGAGGTTCACCTTCTCTATTTGTCATGTTTACCGTTCTCATTGAAAGTGAAAGAAAACGAGCAGAAATCTTCCAATGGGGGCACAAGTTCTGGTGACCCTCTCACTCCATGTTTTGACTGCGGAGCAGGAAGTGAGGGGAAATCTCCCCAATGGGGCATAGATGGCAAAAAAAAAACCTGATGGGGGTTAACACCGTCTCTTACTCTATCCATACTAAATTTGCCTTTAGTTCTGTGTTAAGTAGGCAGGGCTGACACCCTGCGAGGTAGATTTACTACAGGTAAATAGACTGTGCACTTTGCAAGTGCACTCATTTTCCCTAGAACTTGGTGAATGTGGTAAAACTCTGCTGATTTCCATCATCCAATCACATGCAAGCATTTGAAATGGGTAAAACATGCATATATCCCACAGATACCCTGAATACCTTTTTTTTTTTCCCCGCATTTGCTTTGAGATACACTTTGAAGGAGAAGTACAGTCAAAGCTCTTTTAGTTGTGGATCACAGGAGTGAAGTTCGTTCTGCACTCCTATTACCCATTTTCAGCTGACAGCGGGCTGAAGTCACTCAGCCGGTCCAGGCTGGGAAAAGATCCTGACTTTAAAGTTGGGATTGATCACAGAGTCTGGAGTGGCACCTGACTGAACCTCTCAGTGAGCTGCTGAGACCCTGAGCCATCTGCTCCCTCCACAGCCCAGCTCTCCAGTGAGGGGGGGAGTCAGAGCAGACTGACAGTCACCTCTCTCTGCTTAGAGCAGCTGTGAGAACTCAGCAGTCATGTGATCGCAGAGTTCTGACACTTAGAGCCGGCAGGGGACAGATGCTGCATCCACCTAGGCATGTATGATTGGGGGGGGGGGGGGGGGGAGTTTATACTTTTTTTTTTTTTTTTTTTTTTTGCTAACTCAATACAAAACAATGGTAAATACCAAGTAACCTCTCACAGTGAAGGAAATAAGTATTTGATCCCCTGCTGATTTTGAATGTTTGCCCACTCAGAAAGAAATGATCAGTCTAAAAATAGAATGGTAGGTGTATTGTAACACAGAGACAGAATAGCAACAAAAAATTCAAAAGAAATGCATGTCTAACAAATTATGCACTGATTTGCATGTTCATGACGGAAACAAGTATTTTATCATTCAGCAGGATTTCTGGCTACCAGGTGTCTTTCATACAGGTAACGAGCTGAGATTAGAAGCAGTCTCTTAAAGGGAGTGCTGCTAATCTCATTTTGTTAGCTGTATAGAAGACACCTGTCCACAGGAGCAATCAAACAATCAGATTCCAAACTCTCCGCCATGGCAAAGACCAAAGAGCTGTCCAAGGACGATGGAAATACTTATTTTCCTTCACTGTATAACTCCTTTTTCAGTATCTGATCATCAAATATCTGGCTAGCTTAAAACTAAACCTGTTGATTAAAAGCATGGGAGATGCACTGTTGTCATTACAGGAGGTCGGAGATCACCTTGCTTGTCTGATAACTGCTTAACCACTCAGTGTATTCTTGCAAAATAGATTCCAAATGTTTTTTAAAAAAGCTTTTAAGACATACCCTAGTTTATGTCTAAATAAACACTTATTTTGCTGTGGGCAACATTACTACTTTTCCTAAAAATGTTTGTATCTGTTTGATTTCTTCTTTTGGAAGATTTCACTTACTGTTTTATTTGTCCTTCAGGCGAATTCCTTCAGCTGGGCTCCAAAGAGAATGAAAACGAGAGATTTGCTCACTACCTCGAAAAGACTTTTAAGAAGACAGCAAGTCTTATTGCCAACAGCTGTAAAGCAGTATGTACGTTCCTCATTTTATTTAGTTAAATGGAATGTGTGCTGATTGTCATACTTCTAGATAGATCTCTATGCATTTACAATTACAGAAAAGATTGAGGATGTTCCTGACTCTAGACCAAAACCTTGAAGCTATTTATAGGATTTGGCAGTATTCAAGAGCTTACAAATAATTTATAACTTATTAGAGACTTCTCTATGACAGCTGCTTTGCTACGGTGAAGTCATATTAGTACAAAATTCAATTCTGATTGGTTGCGGTGGGTTACTGCAGTTAAAGGAAACTTGTCATGAGCGCAACCAATGCTACTATCTTTTGAAAATGCTGTTTGACTGTCCTAATGACTTTCAATGGTTTGAGATACTTGGCTAAAGCAGGTGTACAGATTAGAAGCATCAAAGAGAAGTTCCAAGTCTATAATTACACAGTTGTTCTGGATTACCTTAAGCCTGGGTTCACATATATGCGGTGGGGTATATTGCATGTGATTCACACAGGAACTGCACCGCATTCCTGTGCAAATCACATGCGAATTGTGTGCGGTGCGATCGGAGCCATACATTTTGTACGGATCTAATCGCACCGTACCCGCACCAAAAAGGTGCTGGACCCTTTTTTTTAGTCCGCACTAGAATCAGATCGCATGGGTATTCATAGTTACATAGTTAGTCTGGCTGAAAAAAGACAAAAGTCCATCCAGTTCAACCATAGAAAAAAAAAAGTTATAATCCTACACCCACAGTTGATCTAGAGCAGTGGTTCTCAACCTTCCTAATGCCGTGACCCTTTAATACAGTTCCTCATGTTGTGGTGACCCCCAACCATAAAATTATTTACCCAGTAATTATAATTCATAAAGTGTCGTTTTTTTACCTCCAATACTGCTGCTTTCAACACAGTAGCTGCTTTCAACACAGTAGCTGCTTTCTACACAGTAGCTGCTTTCTATAGAGTAGCTGCTCTTTACACATCAGAAATGTGTTTTCCCAATGGTCTTAGGCGCGTGAAAGGGTCCCTGTGCGAACAGGTTGAGAATCACTGAGAGGAAGGCAAAAAAAAAAAAAAAAAAACCCCAGCAAAGCATGATCCAATTTGCTCCTGCTGGGAAAACAATTCCTTCCTGATCTCCCGAGAGGCAATCGGATATTCCCTGGATCAACTTTACCTATAACTGTTAGTATCCAGTTATATTCTGTGTATCTAAGAAAGAAGCCAGGCCTTTTTTGAAGCAATCCACTGAGCTGGCCAGAACCAACTCTTGAGGGAGTCTATTCCACATTTTCACAGCTCTCACTGTGAAGAAACCTTTCCGTGCTTGGAGATTCAATTTCTTTTCCTCCAGATGTAAAGCGTGCCCCCTTGTTCTCTGTGATTCACACCTATATGATCTGATTCTGCACATCGCAGTGCGTTTTGCGGACCGATTTTGGGGTGTTGGTAACGTAGCATACACACCTGTAGCGGTTCACATGAATGGAGTGTGATTCTGACGCTTTGCGGAATTCGCACTGAAAACGCTGCGAATTCCGCACCACATCCGTGTGAACCCAGGCTAAAGCTTTGAGTGTCAGAATGACAGCCAGGCCGGAAAAGGCCTTCTCCCTTATTGTAATCAGATGTTTATTTTAAGAATTAGCGCTTACAAATAGGAGTTTTTAAAGCGCACCTAAAACCACTGGAAGGTTTATTTATTTTTGCTACCTGTGTCCCGACGGTAAGATTTTACTGTCCAGAGATATGAGAAGTAGGAGGAAATCTGACAGCTGTAACCTAAACCGGTATCGCTTTTGGAGGATTTCCAACCACTTGTTATTGTGGCAGCAGGAAAATGCTGGCTATCCCAACACTTTTAATCCTGGGGATAAATAGAGGAGTGAATCTCCCCAGCAGGGATAGAGAGGGCAATAGAAACCTGACAAGCACTGACATTTCCCTACTCTATCAAAAAAATACATTTTCACTTTAGATTCACAGAATAATGTAAGAATAGGACTACTAAACAGTATAGGTGCATGGGTATTGTCTTGAAGCTGGTCCTGAAATATTCCATCTAGTCCTACGGGTGTGATGGTGATGTATCCAATCTTAAGAAAGGAAGCGTCTCAGGCAGCTGATGTTCTTTAGCCAGTTGACTTCTTTTTCTCCCTTCCATACTAGACTGAGAGAGGGAAAAGAAAATATGATTTACGTCTAAGTGCAATGCAAGCAGACAATTTTTTTATTACTGAAATCCTTTCATTTATTTATTTTTTTTTTTATGAGATGAGAGTCCAGGGTACTGGAAATCTGTAGATGGCGACTCTCACTGTGGTTTCCTGTGTTCTAGGTGTCAATCTTAGGATGTCCTGATCCAAAGGTCCATGAGATAGCCTACCAGTATGGCAGGAATATAGGAATAGCCTTCCAGGTAGGTGTTCTTCCACCATGGGATTCAGAAAGCCTTTTTCAGGAAATTTCCAAACATGACATATTGAGCAGCACTTTACCGAATACATAGATCCATTCACATCCCTCCGTATTCTAGTAGAGCTCAAATTTTCCTTACAGAAGCCACAAATCCATTTTAAGCTGATGCCAAGCATTTTGTTTTGTGTTGTACTATTTGTTGGGGTGATGAGTGTGAGCATGGCAAGTGCATATAAGTGACACCCCCAAGTAGCAATTGAACATGTGACACCAACACTGCAAAGGAAAACTGCTCACCCCTGAGTGTACAGTTCAAGTCACTTGAAGACTGACATGTTAACCACTTCTGCACCGCCCTATAGCAGAAATACTGCTACAGGGCGGCACATGTGCGCAAAGTCACGTATATATACATGACTTTGCAGTTCCAGTTCAGGGGCGCCCAACCCCCGCCCCCATTCGCGGCCTTGGCTGTCAATCACCGGGTCCCAGCCGATGATTCCCCGCCAGCACCCGGCGATCTCCAATGATTTAAGATGGGGGAGAGACCTGTACGTAAACAATACAGATCTCTCCCCTGTCAGCTCCTGCACGCTGCTTTGTATGTCTCTGCAAAGAAGAGCCATAAAAAGCAGTGTGCTTACAGTGAAACACACACACAGCCCCCATAGTAAAACAGCACACAGTTAACCCTTTAATCGCCCCAGATCTTAACCCTTTTCCTGCCCAGTGCCATTAGTACAGTGTCAGTGCTTTTTATTAGCACTGATCACTGTATTGGTGTCACTGGGGATGTCAGTGACATCAAATCAGTTCCCCCCAGTGTCAGAATACCCGCCGCAGTCCCGCTATAAGTCTCTGATTGACGCCATTACTAGTTAAATAAAAAAATTCCAGTATATATACCGCCATTTGTAAACGCTATAACCCAATTAATTTACAGGTATTGGGTTTTTCTCTAGCAAAGACATGTAGCAGAATACATTTTGGCCTAAATTTATAATGAAATTTGATTTTTTTTAATTTTTTTTTTTTTTTTTACTGGACATGTTTAATAGCAAAAAGTAAAAAAAAAATTGTTTTTTTTTTCCCTCAAAATTTTTTTTTTTTTTATAGCGCAAAAAATAAAAACCACGCAAGCGATCAAATACCACCGAAAGAAAGCTCTATTTGTGGGGAAAAAAAGGATGTAATATTAATTTGGATGTAGTGTTGCACAACCACGCAATTGTCAGTTAAAGTAATACAGCGCCATATCGCAAAAAATGGCCTGGTTAGGAAGGGGGGTAAATCTTATGGAGGACAAGTGGTTAATGTCCCTTTCTGTCCATGCCTTCTTTCAGTTTCCAGCACTGTGATACTTTGAGAATTCCTCAATCATGCAACACTGTACCCAAATGAATGGTGCTGTAAACCATTTTTTGAGCCAAATAAGAGCTTTCGTTCTGTGGTATTTATTCATCACTGGGTTTTTTTATATTTTAATATATAAAAGAAAAAATGGCGAACATTTTTTAAAAATAAGCCTGTTTCCCTTAGGTTTCTGTTATAAAACTTCAAATAATCTTCTTCATAAATTTAGGACACCATAATACAGAGTCTACAAACTATGGTATACGGTATATTTTTTAAAATGTATCAACCTTGATGTTCTGACTGCCTGTCTTATTTCTTGAGGCCCTAAAAGGACAGGATGGTCCACACACTCAATATTACACCTTTTTGGAAAGTAAACTTGTTTAGTAAGAAGCGTGATGTAGTTTATTGCCACAATTTTTTGATAAACTAGGAAAGTAAAAATTTGATTTTTGAGTTATTATTTAAATATTTCTCTCACACACAGCATGGGTGCACTTAAAATTACACCCCAAAACACATTCTTCTACTCCTCCCAAGTATGGTGATATCACGTGTGGGACTTTTTCATTGCCTAGACGCATAGAGGGGCCCAAAATCCAAGGAGCACTGTCAGGTTTTCAAGGGGCATAAATTATGCATCTGACAGATCATCACATTTGTGGTAATCCAGAAGTGCCAGGACAGGAGAAACACCCACAAAATGACCACATTTTGAAAAGCAGACCCTTTAACATATTTCAGAGAAGCATGGTGATTCTTTTGAAGACCACATTTTTTGCTGAAAGTTTTAGAGGGGCCTAAAATCCAAGGAGCATCTTAAGGTTTTCAAGAAGCATAAATAACACCTCTAATTTCCTGACATCCTGTCACTTTGTTGGACGCCCTGAAGGTTCAAAGATAGAAACACCCACAAAAAACTACATTTTGAAAATTTTGATAAAATAATTTTTTAACCCAAGATCTGGGCATTTTTAAAATTGCACCCCAAAACACTTTCTGCTGCTCCAACCAAATATGAGGATACCATATGCGTGAGAATATTCGAACCTAGCTACATGGAAGAGTCCACTTGGGGGGACGCTCAAGCACAACTTAAAACTGCCTCCTGTCCTCAGTCTGAATGGCTAAATGAACATGTACACATGTGCACAGTGCACAGTGCTATGTGCACAGTATACACTGTCATTTTATAAGATCAGCATTGTAATCTAAATACAAAAAAAAGGTGTTTTTTTTTTTTTTGGCAATCCATGATACTGTAAGCATACTTGAAAAATATTCTCTCTTGTTGTGAGTGCTGCCTGTCTGCTGGCCATCTCTTCGCACACCTTCCTAGATTCCTTGCATGCTTTGCAGCTTCTCCTCCTCTGCTTGCTTTTGATCTATAGGGACTACATATCCCATGGTACCTTCCTTACTGCAAGCAGTGATTCCTGTACTGAAACTCCTCCTCTCAGCACCTCTGTAGTTCTGAAGTTCGTATATAATTTTAAATTTTGACAATGGAGATGCTTTAATTTTAAGCATTGGTTTATGTTATGATAGATAACATTCCCTTAATTAATTTTCCTTACCTTGCAGCTTATCGATGACATATTAGATTTTACATCTTGTGCGGACCAACTGGGTAAACCGACTGCAGCAGATCTGAAGTTGGGACTGGCGACCGGTCCAGTTTTATTTGCTTGTCAACAGGTAATGTTGGTTAAAACAGATCTGCCAGTGCTATATTCAGTATGGCTTGCTTTGCATCAAGCTTCTGGCTATTTTCTCTAATCTACAGTTAGGTCCATATATAGGTGGACACAGGCACAATTTTTGTTTTTTTCAGGTATTTACCAAAACATAGTCAAGCTATAGTTATATATAATGGATATGGGCTGAAAGTGCAGACTCTCAGGTTTAATTTGAGGGTGTGTACATCCAAATTGGAGGAAGGGTTTAGGAATTACAGCTCTTAACAGTAGACATCCCCCCTTTTTCAAGGGACCAAAAGTATTTGGACAATTGAATCAAAAGCTGTTTCATGGCCAGGTGTGGGCTACTCCTTCATTATTTCTTCATCAATTAAGCAGGTAAAAGGTCTGGAGTTGATTCTAAGTGTGGTATTTGCATTGGAATCGTATGCTGTGAACCTACATCATGCGTTCAAAGGAGCTGTCCATGCAAGTGAAACAGACCATTTTAAGGCTTGAAACGAAAAAGAAATCCATCAGAGAGATAGCAGCAACATTAGAAGTGGCAAAATCAACAGTTTGGTACATTCTGAGGAAAGAAGAACGCACTGGTGAGCTCAACAACATAAAAAGGAATGGACGTCCACGGAAGACAACAGTGGTGGATGATCGCAGGATCCTCTCTATGGTAAAGAAAAACACATTCACAACATCCAGACAAGTGAAGGACACTCTCCAGGAGGTGGGTGTATCATTGTCAAAGTCTACAATCAAGAGAAGGGTTCACAAGAGCAAATACAGAGGGTTCACCACAAGGTGCAAACCATTCATAAGCCTGAAGAATAGAAAATCCAGATTAGACTTTGCTAAAAAAAACATCTAAAAAAGCCAGACCAGTTCTGGAAAAGCATTCTTTGGACGGATGAAACTAAAATTAATCTGTACCAGAATGTCGGGAAGAAAAAAGTGTGGAGAAGGCTTGGAACAGCTCATGATCCAAAGCACACAACGTCATCTGTAAAACATGGTGGAGGCAGTGTGATGGCATGGGCATGCATGGCTTCCAGTGGCACTGGGTCATTGCTGTTTATTGATGATGTGACAGAAGACAGAAGCAGCCGGATGAATTCTGCAGTGTTTAGAGATATACTGTCAGCCCAGATTCAGCCAAATGCAGCAAAGTTGATTGGACGGCACTTCACAGTACAGATGGACAATGATCCAAAACACACTGCAAAAGCAACCCAGGAGCTTTTGAAGGAAAAGAAGTGGAATATTCTGCATCACCTGATCTCAACCCAATTGAGCATGCATTTCACTTGCTGAAAGCAAAATTGAAGGCAGAAAGAACCACAAATAAAGAACAACTGAAGACAGCTGCAGGTAGAGCCTGGCAAAGCATCAGAAAGGAGGAAACCCAGTCTTTGGTAATGCCCATGGGTTCCAGACTTCAGGCAGTCAATGCCAGTAAAGGATTCTCAACAAAATATTAAAAATGAACATTTTATTTATGATTATATTAATTTGTCCAATTACATTTGAGCCCCTGAAAAAGGAGGGACTGTGTATAAAAATGGTTGCAGTTTCTAAAATTTGTACTTGATATTTATGTTCAACTCCTTGAATTAAAGCTGAAAGTCTGCACTTCATATTCATTTGGATTGTTTCGTTTTAATTTATTCTGGTGGCATTCAGAGCCAAAAGTATGAAAATTGTGCTTGTGTCCAAATATATATATAGACCTAACTGTATATCGCTGTGTTATATTGATCTGTTCTAGTAATCAGTTATGAACATTTTGGGTCAAATCTTTTGTGTCCTGATGTAATCAGCAGTGTAGTTATCCCCTGAGGACCCAGCTTGCGTCCTTTAGACTCTGTAAATTAGGCCAACCTATGAAGAGATTAAAGCAGAGTTAAATAGCGTTTAAGGGTAGCTGGCAGACCATTTCCTATCTGTTTATTAACTATTTTTTTTGAGCATTGTCTGACACAGTGAAGGAATCCTTTAGAGCCACCTTGTCAAGATTGCATTCTTGCAATTCCTTTTGGGGTAGAGGGTGTCAGCTTGGCACCTTGTTACCTGTTACACCCTATGTAAAGCCTTCAATGCTCCGTAAATCAATGGAGTATCTAAGAATATACAGTCCTAACCCAGGAGCCATGGATCATGGCCCTCAATTGGCCAACCCTAATTAAAGGCTCCAAAGCAGTAGACGTCAGTTGTAAATTTATGGATCCATCAGCTACCTGACCCTTGAGATTGCTCCAGATCCCTGAGGCAAACTACTTATAATGTTCATCAAAAATCTTCAAACTACAAGATTTGCATGTTTTCACAACGGAAAGTTGTACTTAGAGATTATGGAGGTTGCCACTGCAGACCTTTCCTCCTGAACATTCTAGTTGTGTGTCTGTCATGGTGATCCTTTGGGTTCTTCACTTTGGTGCACTGACATGGACAAGCATGTACCATTGCTCTAAGGGATGAAGTGGTGACTCCAGTCCATATACCGTGACCATGGATGTTGGTAATGGTGTGGTGGCTTCAGCCCCTATACTGTGACCATGGCTGTTGATGTTAAAGTGAATCCAGCTCTTGCCCTGTGATCATGACTGTTCGTAATGGCGTGATGCCCCCCTCCCCTACAACGCGACCATGGGTGTTGTGGTGGCCCCGGCCACCATGGCTGTTTTAGTGATGGTGCGTGACTCTAACCTCTACACTGTGACCTTGACTGTTAGTGGTGTTATGGTGACTTCGTCATCTACACTATGACCATGGTTGTTACTAAAAGTCTAGTGTCTCCAGCCCTTACATGTAATTAGTGTAGTTCTGGTTCCGGGCCCCTAGACTGTGACCAGGACTGTTAGATATCAGCCCCTTGCATTTTGACAATGGCTATTAAGGTGTGGGCATATCATTGGTGGAGCATATGTGAATGAGCATGCTGTACATTCATGTATTGACCCCTAGCAGAATGTGTAGGATCTTCAATAGCCCAGGTGTACACCATTCAACCCGTGCACATCTCATCTTCTGCGTAATAAAATCTGATGAAGTATATTTTTGGCCAATAGCCTTGACATAAACATAAATTAAGTTCATGACAATGGCAGGAGGATGTGATTACAGAACAGATTCTGTTATTTGTTTGGAAGTATAACGATAATTAATTGTTTGCTTGGTCAGTTTCCTCAGAGCTGAACGCCATGATAATGAGAAGATTCAGTGTGGCAGGAGACGTCGAACGAGCATGGCAGTATGTCCGTCAGGTAAGAGAGGGCTCACTGTGAGTCACCACTTTGTGTTAACTATTACCACAATGGTATTGTCTGTATGGTATGAGCTCTGCATGGCTAAAGTCTGAACAGAACTACCTGGCTCAGAACATTGCAATCTGTCATTGATTTGTAACCAGTGGGTTTATGCTTTTATTCTTGCCATTTTTAACCACTTGCCTTCCAGAGGATTTACCCCCCTCCTGACCACATTGCATTACGGTGCTGCGTTACTTTAACTGACAATTGCGCAGTCATGCAAGGCTACACCCAAATCAAATGTACGTCCTTTTTTCACACAAATAGAGCTTTCTTTCAGAGGTATTTGATCACCTGTGCGGTTTTTATTTTTTGAGCTATAAAAAAAAAAAAAACAATTTTGAGAGAAAAAAAACAATATTTTTTACTTTTTGCTATTAGACATGTCCAGTAAAAAATCAAATTTGTTATAAATGTAGGCCAAAATGTATTGCTACATGTCTTTGCTAAAAAAATAAATCCCAATACATGTAAATTATTTGGTTTACGTGAATGTTATAGCGTTTACAAATGGCAGTATATATTTATACTGTGATTTTTTTATTTTTACTAGTAATGGCAGTGATCAGCATCTTATTGCAGGACTGTGGTGGGCATTCTGGCACTGGGGGGGATTGGCTTGGTGTCACTGACATCCCCAGTTACACCAATACAGTGATCAGTGCTAAGAAAAAGTACGGACACTGTACTAATGGCACTGGGGTTAACATGTGGGGCAATCAAAAGGTTTAACTGTGTGTGCTTCACTGTAAGCACACTGCTTTGCATGGCTCTGCTATGAAGAGCTATGCAAAACAGTGTGCAGGAGTTGACAGGGGAGAGGACTGTATTGTTTATATACAAGTCTCTCCCTCCATCAGTACTGCTCCTCGATCACCGGCGAGTAATCAGCGGCCAGGATCCGGTGATTGACAGCCAATGCTGACATTCTCTTACTAAGTAGCCTGGCTGATGTCCTTTTACCTTATTGCTTTTGGTTGGTGACTCAGAACAAGCATGAACATAAGCACCCCCCCCCCCCCCCCTCCTTTTTTTTTTTTTTCCCCCCTACCTTCCTAATTTGAACTTTTGTCAAGGTCAGCGACTGAGAACTCTCCACACAAATGCTCATCAATGTACCTTTTATCCTGCTAGGCTTACCAATTGTAAGAAATTGAAACAGGTTTGCTGTGAGATAAAAGGGAAGAGTGTAGAAAGACATCGCAGTCTGCCTGCTTTTAGTTGCTTTTAAAGTGGAAGTGGCTGATAAAACGCTTAGCTGTGTTCATGTTAATATACTAATGTCTGTTCCAGTGCTGGTATAACAAAGGATAGAGTTGTGTATGCTTCCCCTTCCCCCTCATCCATTATAAAATGTTGTGCATCCTTTTCATGGACCAGAACAAGGGGTGAGGAGGGGCAGATGAACAAGAGGACCACCCCTTGCCCAATCACTGGTTACCTCATATTCTGTGAAAAGAACAAGATGGTTTATGAATGGATAAGGAGGAGAGCAAACAACGTTATCTTTCACTGTACAAGTGCCAGAAGAATAGCAGTGACAGCTGACAGTAGTATCTACATTTGTAGTATTTCCAGCCATCATCTGGATATAATATATCCAGCATTAGTGGTAACTTGACTGGACAAGTCAAAAGAAAAAAAAAATGTTTTTAATGGAATTAAACTTTAAGGCCTAGACTCTGGACCAAAGCTCTGCCCATCTGCCAGTCCCTTTCTGGTTGGTGAGGTATATAACATACGGGAGCGGAGCAGTTGGGCATGATTTAATGCTTGGGCAGCGTTTAAGGCTAAATTTGAGGGATCATATGGAAATGGAAAATGGTTTCAAAGTGAGCAAGAAGCTTTTCAAGGAGGTAATAGCAGAGCTGGTCACTTTTTTATTTATTTTACACCAGAGCAGTATTTAGCTGTGTTAAGTAAACATACTTCTTTTTGTCCTGGCAGAGTGATGGTGTTCACCAAACTACCTACCTCGCCCAACGCTACTGTAATGAAGCAATCCGAGAGATCAGCAAGCTGCAGCCGTCCCCGGAGAGAGACGCTCTCATCCACCTAACAGAAATTGTGCTCACTAGAGACAAGTGATCGGGGAAAGGGACTCTTTACTGGCAGCTACCACCAAACAGTGCCTAACGCCAGCACATGTGTACAAACACAGCCGGTTTAGCTTCAAGTGCGGGCCACCAAAAAAGGACTTGAGAAATCTCCAGATGTTTATTATGCCTTTCACTATTACAGTACTGTATTTTTTTTTTTTTTTTTTTTTTTAATCAAGATTTTATCAGCGGAAGCCATATTATGTATGAACGTGAGCAGTAAAGGGGAGAGTGAATTTCACCAGATGTATTGTGTAAAAGGATAAAATCTAATCAATTTTCAGTTCTCTGTTGGAAGTTCTTTGCAAACCTGTTCATCATGTTTTTAAGAGAACCAATCATGAAATGTGTGCTTTTATTGGCAGTGTTCTACAAATGCAACTAGCATGGTATGTACATCACAGGAGAGTTCATGCTTAGACTATTGGCTTCACCTGCAGGTGATTGGACACTGGTAAATAGCAAAGCTTGACATTGCCCAACACAACCCCCTGCCCCTTTATTGTCACAGGTTTTTTGCCCGTATTATCGATCTATCTATATGACAAAGCCTTTTCAGTCTTGATGTAGTGTGCATTGATAAAGTCTTCAGACCCCCTTCATGTTTATTAGTGTTATGTTGCAGCCTGATTTTTTTTTATTAATATTCTCCACCCAGTACCCCATAATGACAAAGTGAAAACAGAAGTTTAGAAATGTATGAAAAAGGAAAAACTGAAATATCACATTGGCATAAGTATTCAGACCCTTTGGGACAACACTTGAAATTTAGCTCAGGTGCCTCCCATTTCTCTTGGTTGCTGCTGAGATGTTTCTACACCTTGATTGGAGTCCATCTGTGGTAAATTAAATTGATTGGACATGATTTGGAAAGGCACACACCTCTCTATAAAAGTCCTCATAGCTAACAATGCACACTGTACTGAATGAACTGCCTGCAGAGCTCAGAGACCGTAATAAAAAAAAAAAAAAATCTGCTGTACTGAAAAATCCCAAGAACAAAGTGGTCTCCATAATTCTCAAATGGAAGAAGTTTGGGTAGAACCAGGACTGTTCTAAGAGATGGTCACCCAACCAAACCGAACAATTAGGGGAAAAGGGCCTTAGTACAAGAGGTGACAAAGAACCTGATGGTCACTCTAAATGAGCTCCAGGGATCCTGTGTGGAGATGGGACAAACTTCCAGAAGGACAACCATCACTGCAGCCCTCCACCGATCTGAGCTTTATGGCAGAGTGGATAGACGGAAGCCTCGCCTCAGTGTTAAAACACACGAAAGCCTGCTTGGAATTTACAAAAAAGCATCTGAAGGACTCAGACACTGAGGAACAAGATTCTCTGGTCTGATGAAACCAAGATTGACTGGTTTGGCCTCAATTCTAAACATTATGTCTGTAGAAAGCCAGGCACCGCTCATCACTGTTGGGATGGTATTGGGCAGGTGAAGCATGATGGTGGCAGCATAATGATGTGGGGTGGTTTTTTGCAAATAAGTATGGCAGAAAATCCCCCAATCCAGGTGTGAAAAGCTTGTCGCGTCATACCTAAAAAGACTAGAGACTGTAATTGCTACCAAAGGTACTTCAACAACTGAGTAAAGGGTCTGAATACTTAAGTACATGTTACATTTCAATTTTTTTTTTCCTTTTTAATAAATTCAGACATTTCATAAAATCTGCTTTCACTTTGTCATTATGGGGTACTGAATGTAGATTGTGTGGAAAAAAATGAGTTGAAACATAACAAGATTGAAAAAGTGAAGGGGGTCTGAATACTTTATAAATGCACTGTACTTTCTCTGCTGAATCTCGGTGCTCTATAGTGGTGTGACTGATACTTAAATTTCAGGAAGGTATCCAGACCCTTATGGAGAAACAGAGACAACCTGGAAGCTGACTTTGCATTAGATCCCAAGTGTGGCACTCATTTTGGCATGTGGTTGCATCTGGTGGCACCACTGTGCAAAAGTAACACGGCACCTTAGTATTGGGACACCAGCCAAGCAGGACACACTTTGATGTGCTCCTAAATGGCACAGGACGGGAGTGAGAACTCAATAGCCTCCAGGTGGTAAGATACTGGTAGGTTACCCCCCTTTATTGGTGCTAGCACTAAAGATTGTAAACACTGCTTAATTGTGCGCCTGGCAAGCATGACAAAGCTGGGACCAGTGGAACAAAGCTCCCTTATTTCAGGAGACCGTCTTCCCTCCACAAATTTATTTAGAGGCAGCAAATCAGCTCCGGCTCATGGACATTATCCAGTTACTCACGAACTCATTCAGGAGCTCCATCCTTGGGCTTTTTATGTCCAAGGAAGAATTCTCAGCTGCCTTTTCCACTGTGTTGATGCAGCTGGAAAATATCCCTAAGGATTCACTGAGAGAGATCCAGGTCTTTATCACTACAGGATCTACCTTGTGATTTTCCCCTACCACCCTTTCTCAGGTTGGATGAGAAGGTAGGGTCCAAGAAGTCAGCCTCCTCTGAGGTGGACGCCCAGGTCACTCATGTGTCTTCATCGCAGTGGTCCACAATGAGCATTCTCATAGAGGCGGTCAACAAGAACCTAAAAAACGGTTGCTACTGGAACCTTCAGTGCTTAAGTTGTCCGGGTCCTGGAAAGGGAAAAAAGCTTACATTAGCTGTTCACACACCACTACCTTATGGTAGACCGTTTCTGCACAAAGTGGGCAGTCCATGATGTGGACCACACGTTGCCCTACTTAAATAAGATCCTTACTGTACCAGTGGACATGTGAGTCCCTTTTTAGGTCAGTCTTTACCTTGGTCAATGCAGCCCACCATTGCATTTATTGGGGTTTGTCAGGCGACTTTGCTAGTATGGATAAAGAATTTAGTGAAAGAAACTTGAGCTTTTCAGTCAACTTCATTGGCCAGACAATGCTTAGCCCTCTGTCCTAAAGCATTGTGTTTCTGTGTGGTTGGACTTGGAGATTCTCTCCAGCTTCCCTCTTGCATGGGGCTAATGTCAGTGCACATGAGGCAAGTGTTGTGGCTAAAATGCTGGTCAGCTAAGCTCCCCTGCAAAAAGCAGTTGGAATGCGTGCCTTTTCAACGGTGAACTTCTTTTTGGCAATGCTCTAGCTGTGTTTATCCAGGAGATCACAGGAAGAGTGAGCACTCTTACCTTTTTAAAGAAGTGGCAGAAGCCATTTTCTTCTTGAACCAAGATTGGTTCCTTTTGTTCTTTTCAGAATTTGGAGGCAAAACAGAAAACTTTGTTGTAGAAAACATACTGTTGCCTGTCTTGGAGCTCCAGGAAAAAAAAACTTCTTCCCAATGAGGGGACACTTGGCAGCCTTATGGCTCTGAGATATCTTGTCTGGATCCAAAATATGTTGAAAGGCTACAAGGAGTTTTGTTTCTTGCTGTTGAATATGCCTACTGCAGCCAAGAAAGCAGCCCCGTTTTCTGCTGTGGACCAGCTGTGCATTCAGGGGATTATTGCCCCTCTTCCAGAACCAAAAAGGTTTCACAGTTACTATTCAAACCTATTCATGACACACAAGCTGGAGGGTGATTTATATTCTGGACCTGAAGCACTTGAACAAGCTCTTCCATTTTCAAAAGATTTATATGAAATCTGTAAAGTCAGTGGCCGCTTCCTTCCTTCTTGGGCGATTCCCAGGCCTCAGTGGATATCAAGGATGCTTACCCCCACATACCTATATTTTTTTGCTTAATCGCTGCTGCCTTCACTTTGCAGTGGGGGAGCAACAATTCCATTTGTGGCTCTGCCCTTTTAATCTAGCTACAGCACTGTGAGTGTTCACAAATGTGCTGGTTGTAGCTCTTCTGCGAGCCAGGAATATCCCCATTCTTGGGTATATGGATGGCCTACTCCTGTGGGAGCAATTGCATGGAGACCTCAGGACTCATCTAGCACAGAAGGTGCAGGTCCTGAAAACGTCAGCTGGATCCTCTCAAGAAGTAGACCCTCAATACATCGCACTGAATGAAATATCTGGGCATCTTTGTGGAACACCCTTGGTGCAAGTTTTTCTTCTGCAGGAAACACTTTGGATCCATCAGTTGAAGGTGCAGAAGTAAATTCCCTAGAACACCCCTCAATTTGCTACTGCAAATGAGGGTGCTAGCATTGATGGTAGCCACCTTCAGGGCAGGGCCGTGCATGCAGCTTTATTCAAGACTGTTGCAACTCAACAGCTTGACAATGTAGAACAAAAGAATTCTGCCCTTGTATCGGCCTATGTCTAAAGACCAAAACTCAGGTTATCCTTTCTCCCTCTAGTGCAGAAAGTACTAACAATGAATGCCAGCCTGTCACTGAGATGGGGTTGTCAGAATTAGCTTGGATGCCAATAAATGTTCTGAAACTCAGAGCTTGCACTTCAGCACTGGGCCCACTTGATTTGGGGACTGCCAGAGTCTAAACTGGTAATGCCACAGTAGTGGTGTACCTAAATCTCAAAGGTGGTACCAGAAGTCAAGCTGCTGTTCAAGACGCAGAGATGATGCTGACTGGAACACATTCCCAGCATACAAAATTGGCAAGCAGACATACTATGCCACCAATGCTTCAATCTCATAGTGGTCCCTCAACCTGGAAGTGTTTCACTAACTTTGTCTTCAATGGGGGTGTCCAGCCTCAACTAACTGGACAAGTACATGTCCAGGTACAGGGATGCCCTAGTCACACCATAGAATTGGTTCAACCTAATTTATGCATGTCACCGCTCAAGCTCCTGCCTCGTCTATTTCAGAGGATAGCGAGGGAAGGCATTCAGGTGATTCTTATTGCACTGAATTGATCAAGGAAGGCATAGTCAAACACGTACCTGTCTCTCTGCACCCTACTGGTGCCATGTTCCATCCTTCTTCATGGTCACTGGTTTTCATGGCTAGGCCTTTGAAGCCAAAGTTCTGAGGGCAATGGGTCTTATGGACTGCGTGACTCCCACTTTGCTTCAGGCCAGAAAACACTCTTGCCGTAGAGTTTACCACG